TGAAAGCTCTTGGAGCAAGTCCCACTGTGGCTGGGATTGTAGGTAAGATATGTCCACTGCACACAGTAATCTGTTTAACTTACATTGTAGGATGTGTACTACAGGGTTCAGCCCTTAGAGTGGATGTATAATTAGGCAGCAAACTGATAAGCTCTGAAAAGTCTTTAAACCACATGACCAACCAAATTACGATCTCAGAGGGTTAACACGGACATAAACGTAATTAATCTACAGTTTTATAAAGTCTTTGTTTTTGGAAGAGTGATTGTCATGAAGACACACGACTGCTAACAAATCATTTGCAATAACAAAGTAAAACACACTGTCACAGTGACAATATTAGAGCTGAAACGATAAGTTCATGAATCAGTTAGTCAAACAAATACAGAAAAGTTCTGTTGGTTGGTTGCTTTGGTGTTTTCCTCATTTGCATGTGTTTTGTCTGTTTGTGTTTTTCATAAGTTCTCAGCTCCCAACAAGAAATTCAAATATGTCATCTTGGGCTGTAAGAAAGTGTGATTCACATTTTGTAACATTTTCTGTCATGTTACAAAGTAAACGATTAATAAATTAGTAGGAAAATGATGCATTCATGATAGAAAATAATAATTTGTTGCGGCCCTCGTAAATATAATGTTGAAAATGTGCCTTAAAGTTTCAGTTAGATTTCAGTTACTGTGTGTGTGTGTAATGAGAAATAATGTCCAACCCCTGTGCTGTAATTGTTGTTTCCTTATTACATATAAGGAAGATATTACATATCACTAACACATTAGATGGTGTTTAGTGACAGTTTCCGCCGCTTGGTGTCTGCTCTGTGCTTTATATTACAAATATGAATTAAAACAAATATGAAACTGTTGCAGGGTCGACATATGGGATCTTACAGCTCTTCTCAAGCACAATAGTTGTAAGTATTGATTTTGTTTCGCTCTAAAAAAAACGAACTAACTAAACTGTCTCTGCCTCTAACGTCTCTTGAGCCTCTCCTGCTTGACAAGGCACGCTCACAGTTAATGGCCAAAATAGTTGCATTCCATGTCATCTCCGGTATTTCATGAAAACAATAAACACTGTCTGTTTCAGGTTGGTTGTGGTCGCATAATACACCCAGTCTCTCACACACACACACAAGCTTCTCCAAGTTAGCCACAGTTATCACTCCTTTTACACAGAAATTATAATTGTTTTAACCTTTTAACACCCCCTGACTGGACACTGAGGAGCTGTTGAAGTGAAGTAACCCTTGGATGTTAAATGAAAAATCAAAGCCTTTATGATGAAACCATGTCCAAACTGTTAATAAATAACTCAAAAAGCCACAGTACTCTACAATAAGCACTGCATCTGACACAAGATTCTCAGCTTTCCACGTCTCTCTCCTGCTGCCCACAGCTCCTGAAATTGGTTTAATTCTCAGGGGTCATGCGACAAATTAAGACAGATAAGGACTTGTCTGTTGGTTCCTGCGTGCAGACCGGCTGAATCCTGATAAACGCAGGGATACGTGAACAGCCGGGTCTCTATGATAATCCCACCAGGCTACATCCAGAACACAGCAAACTCAATTGGTCCTTATTTCATTATTTCATCAGATGGGTGTGTGTGTGTGTGTGTGTGTGTGTGTGTGTGTGTGTGTGTGTGTGTGTGTGTGTGTGTGTGTGTGTGTGTGTGTGTGTGTGAGAGAGAGAGAGAGACGAAGAGAGAGAGAGAGAGAGACAGGGTGAGAATCTAATAAAGAGCTGTATAACTGCTTCAGCTGCTTGGGTGACAGGAAATCCAGGGTTTGGGGATTTCTGTTATATTAGTATTTCCATACGTATGTATAGAGGTACTTTTCTCTGCTGTGTCCATTTGTTGAGATTTGTCTTTCCAGATCAGTGAATTAAAATTCTCCCCCTGTTTCAAGATGTTTCAAAGGATTGTACAAAATATCTTTTGAATGGGAAATTGGTGTTTGTGGTTGTGCGTCACTTCCTGTGTGTGATTGGCAGGGCAGCTGGAGTGATGTGGTGGGACGGCGGTACTCTCTGCTGACCTGTCTGCTGCTGAGTGCTCTAGGCTACGGCCTGCTCGGGATGTCCTCCAGCATCGCTTTGTTTGTCCTCGCACGGATACCTGTGGGTAAGTCAAGTCATATTAGGAAAAGCACATGTCTAAACAATCGAATGAATGATGGCTGATTTCCATTTAGCTGCTTCAGTTTCAGTGCTAGCTCACTGTCATGACTTCCTGGGACTTTTAAAGGTCCAGTGTGTAACATTTAGGAGGATATATTAGCAGAAATGGAATATAATAATCAGAAGCTTGTTTTCATTAGTGTACAATCACCTGAAAATAGGAATTGTTGCGTTTTCGTTACTTAAGAATGAAAAGTGTTTCTCTACTGAGGGAACTGGTCCTCCTCTGAGGAGTCTGTCATGTTTAACCAGTAGCTCAAAATGGACAAACCAAATGCTGGAGGGTGTGGACGAGGACATTGTAGATGTGACTCAGCAGCTTAAACATATGTAGCAATATGTATTTTTAATCTCTCTCTGGCTTAATTTTATTTTTGGGGTTAACATCTCATTCCAGTACTAAAAAACATTCCTGATTGTCTTGGATAAAATGTAATTATGGCAGGTGGAATGAGGATTTATATGAAATAGCAAAATTCTCATAACTTGCACAAAGCTGCCACCTTATTCTTTAAAGCCAGATCAGTCAGCTTCTTACTCTCACTGTTTGTTGACTGTTTTCTGTCTCAGGGTTGTTCAAGCACTCCCTGTCCATCTGCAGAGCCCTGCTGTCTGACCTGGTGTCTGAGTCAGAGCGCCCTCTGGTGATGGGACACTTCAATGCAGCCTCCAGCGTTGGCTTCATCCTGGGTCCTGTGGTGGGTGGCTACCTCACGGAGCATGAAGGTGGCTTTTATACGTCCTCTTTTACCTGTGCAGCCATCTTCATTATTAATGCAGGTTGGTAGAAACGGGAGAGAAACAACTGATTTAATAGAGCCCCCTTTTTTAAAATATGTGTCTAACATTATGTGTATGTCGTTCCAGGGCTGGTATGGATGCTACCATGGAGCGAGACGCTAATTCACCGTAATGAAACTAACGCCAGCAACGATGCAAGTAAAGGTTGTCATGATAACAACTGCAGTAATTCGGTTCTCAATGGCTCTCATACAAATAGTCACCACCCAGTGTTGGCTGCAGAGAATGATCCAGGCTCCAGAGCGGCAGGGAGGCACCGAGGTGGTCTCAGGTGGAAGGAGTTCTCTCTGCTCCAGCCTGCCTGGAGACAGCTGTCTTCAGTGGGCTCCAAGATCCACATGGTGGCCTCTTCTGACATGTGGGACCTTTTCCTGGTGCGTCTTCTGATGGCCATAGCTATCATGCTTTACTACAGTAACTTCTCTCTGGCAATGGAGGAGCGTTTCTCACTTAAACCAAAGGTGACAGGTTATCTGATTAGCTATAGCAGCACCTTAGGGGCCCTTGCTGGGTTCTTGGTGGGGCCAGTCACCCAGCTGTATGGGAACAATATGCCTGCTCTGCTCCTTCACTCCACAGTTCTCACCTGTTCACTAATTTTACTGTACGCTGCCGCGCCTAGTGTGTGGCAGGTGCTGCTTACCTCCACCTTCTTTGCCATTTCCACCACTATTGGACGGACATGCATCACAGATCTGGAGCTGCAGAGAGGAGGGGTCCAGGCCAGTGGGACTCTGATTGGAGCCGGGCAGTCAGTCACAGCCGTTGGTCGAGTCCTGGCCCCTCTTCTCTCTGGTCTGGCCCAGGAGTTCAGCCCTTGTGGTCCCCCCAGTCTGGGAGTGATCCTAGCTCTTGCAGCCGTAGGTTTACTGCTCATCAGGATCCCCAAATGGGACGGGAGGGGGATGACAAAAACAGCCAAACTCTGAGTAACTGGATGAATTTAGAATTAATGAAAATCAATGCAAATCTACCACACAGAGACATGCTCTTATTTGTTGGCCAGCTGTGAAGATGACCAGCAGACTCATAGTGGGAGCGATGTTTCCTGCTCAAAATGTCAAATGTGTCCGTAGATGTGGTTGCACCACAGGGTCAAAATGGCTCATCACCACCAGCACTGCAGTCCTTCTCTCAGGAAGCATCAAGCGCAGCATCCAGTGTGAAGTAAGGGCTGGGAAGTTTCATCTGCTTCCCCCTGCGCTGTAGTTTAATCAGACAGAAACATGTGGGCCTTGTTTTGGCACATACTACTTGGGACAGCTTTGCTGGAAACAATTCACACTTTAATGTAATTTTCTAACCACTGCATTGTCCAGAGTCAGCCTGGTGATGATGATGATATTCACTACAAGTCAGAATAACTTTTACTGCTTCATCAAAATACAATAACAAGATGATCTTCCTTTTACATTCCAGGCAGTTATGCTTCAGACGTTCATAAATGAGCTATAGTAGCTGTGGGGAAATCACGCTGCCTGACTGTCCCAAAGTAGATCAGACTGTAAAGTAATAATAATAATAATAATAATAATAATAATAATAATAATAATAAACACTTTTTACCTCAAAGCCAGTTGTTTCACCTAATGCACTTCATCGGAAATTCTTCCTTCTGTGTTGTATGAGCAAATGTTTGCTCTAGTTTCTGACTCTTGAGTTTTATAGTGAAATATTTGCTAATTTATCTTAGGATATGTTTAAGTGGAGACTTAAAGAAATTGTGAGTTTTAACTGTATACTGAGCACCACTGTTAAAATCCCAAATGATATAAATGTATGTAAAGAAGTTGGTGAATGCCAGATTCATGTCACAAGGAATAAACAAAGTTTTATATGCAAGTCGACGTTGTTTTGAATTTGTATATACAACACTGAATTCAATGCAGTTTAGATGTTGCATTCAACTCTGTCATACCTGCTGTACATTCTTCCCTTCTTCTCTTCCTCTGTGGGCGGTGTCATCTTTATAAACCTGCATTGTATCCATGGTCTAATCGAGGATGCTTAAAAAACAGCTTTCAACAATGTAGAAAATTTATTGCAGAAAGAAAAAAACGAAGTGGGCCGAGATTTGTGAGGTCCATCAGTGTAACAGACATACAAAAGGCTTACAGATAGTCAGGAGTACTCTGTACTGCACAGCAATAAGTCCTCATCTTAAACATAATATGGCCTATATCAATCATACATCTGTCACACACAATAGGCAATAACATACAAAAAAAGTATAGTATTTACATGTAAGGACAAAGAAATAATCACTCAAAATAAAATAGTTTAAATTAGATTGTCTTTAAACATTTAGAAAAAAGTACAAGATAAAAAGTATTTAAAATCACATTGATGTCAACGGTTGAAATTGAATTGGCAGAATGACTCACTGTTGCCAGTTCATATACAGTTCCTTCACTACAGTGCACTGTGCTTCTGACTTCAAGATATTACTCTCCAGCCTGGTTCATTTTGGAGGTTGGTTCACCTCCAATAAGAAATGAATGGACCTCCAGTGTTCACAAACTCTGCCTTTTTGTGGTATTAATACACAGTTTTATGTACAGACCCTGGAGATGCTTGAGATCATGAGATTCAGTCTGTGGCAGGCCAGCTGCTCTCTGAAAGCCCAGGCACACCTTTACTTCCTCTTCGGGTTCCACTGAGGCCGTCTGAGCAGGGGGTTTTGTGCTGTGTTGTCTTGGGTTTCAGCTGCCCAGGCTGGAGTTGGAGACGAAGGCTGCTGCTGCTGCTGCTGTTCCTCCTCTTCTGCTGTTGCTTCATGATGCCCATTTCTGAAGTTATCAGCTGAACTGCTGTCATGGTCAACAGAGGGGGGGAATTGACGGCGAGGAGCAGGTATGCGGGCATTGCTGGAGGAGGAGTTTGTTCTGGACATGCCATGCCCCATCCGGCCTCTCTCCCCTGTGCTTTCATCCAGCACATCAACAGAGGGCGCCTCTTTTAGAGTGTCCAACCTTTGTAGAGGCATCATAGCTCTGGAGGAGGAGCGCCCAGGCTGGTGAAAACGAGAACGTCTGGAGGGGTAGGCCACCTCTGACATTGTTTCCTGATCATCTGGGACAGGAGAGGAGAGTGGTAAAATTGTAAAGAAACCATTAACTGGACTGAATAATTCCATCAAACCACATTATATTTTATACAGTTGCATGTGAATAACACTTGAATGGTCCTTGATGAATGAAGAAATAAATCTGGGTTCTAACCGTTAAACCTCACTGACCTGCAGGTGGCTCAGTCATTCCAAACATATGTTGTGCAGCCAAACATTGTTCAAACTTACATACATAACTAATATTTCACTCATTGTAGCTAGAACAAGCCGATACACAAATAAACACCTGAGCAAGTTCCATTCATTGAAATAGGCAGTGAGATAAAGTCAAAGGCTTTATTTACATAAAGGGAAGTAAAAGGGGAAGGTTGGATGTTAAGGGTAGTTTACCTGTGTAGCTCAGCCTCGTGGGAGGAAATTTTGATTCCAGACTTTTCCCAGCAGGAAGAGAGAAGTACTTATGAGATTTGGGCACCACCTGAGAATAACATGGGAATGAAAAAACAGAACGATAAGAAGGGAGGGTAGAAGGCCAAGAGAGAAAAAGGAGAATGATGACTAAGGGATGGGATAAAGAAAGGGAACCTTATGTTAGATTGGGATTTTCATATCTGAGTGTAGTCGAGAGATAATTAACCTGCTTCTAATGAGGTTCAATTCTGCTCTCACTTACATACTTTCACTAAAAGACTGAGATATTTACTATATATAATATATAGTAAATACCAGCCATAATTAGAGTTTTCCTGCTTACCGATGACTGAAAGCTGCCAGGTCGGAGGCTTCGACGGATGCTGGTGTGTCGTCTGATCAGTATCTCTTTTGTCTGGCTGTCATTGGGAAGGGCATGCTTATTTGTGTATGCCACCGTCTGGTTACAAAAAAACAAAATGGCACAAGATACAACATTACACCCACACACGCAACATCACACAGCAGTAGGACAGTGGATTCCAACCTCAGGGTCGGGACCCTCACTAGGGGTTGCCAAAGCCTCACAAGAGGTCACAGGGCCTTTTTGTAAAATATACGGTAAACCTATAGCTCAGCATTTGATTCATTTATGTAAAGAAAACTAAATGAAATTGTTATTTCTAAAGTTAAGATTATTATTTTGCAGTAGATATGAACAGGATAAGGGCATGGCGAGTAAGACCAGAATTCAAGCTACTTTCACAGATCCTTCACTCTGCTAATCAGCCTCAGCCTGAATTAGAAAAGTATGCAGTTAAAACAACCAGAGCTAATAGAACAATGAGAAGAAAAAAAAAACACTGAATCTGCCAAAAAAAGAAGAAACCAATTAAGTATGTAGAATACATTTTCTTTTCTTTTAAATGAAAAATACTGACAGAATTGTATAAAAACGTTCCCTAAGAATATCAGGAAAACTTCATCTAATATAATATTCACAGAAAATAATCTGCTTAAAATTCATCCAAGTTGCTCGTTTTACTTCATTCAGTTTTTGTGTTCAGTATTTGGGTTAAACAAAGTGTTGAGTTATTAAATTAGTTAATCGGTTCCGTACTGTTATTGTTATGCACTGAATATAATAGGAAATATCCATAAAACATGTCACTTAGTCGTGGCTTTTAGTTCAGCCAATAATAGAAAAAGATCCCTTAAGATAAAAGGTTGGAAACAACTTCCCGCTCACAGACTGCACCATTTTGTAATGCGTCCATCTGTAATAAAGTCTGGCTAAAGGCGGCCACAATGCCTCAACCTTTTGGTCAATAACATCCACTGACTGTGGAGGCGACAAAGGCTGAGACAAACAGACAGTTAAGATGCTTTGAGAAGAGACAGCATTCTTTACAGCTCAGATTACTCAACCAAAACTAGCCATACCTGTTTGAGCCACAAGGGTCTGTGTCTCTATTTGGACTTTGTGAGTTGCCACACTAACTTCCTCCATGCACGCACCCATCACTGTCAACACAGTTCTCTCTGTCCTGCAGCTTTTAGCTAGGGCTAAAACAAACATAACTGCCTTTCAAACTTTCCCAACATTGCCATTGTACTTTAGAGAAATGTCTCATATCAACAAAATGCTCTTATCTACTTCATGAGAGGGCAACATGGTCAGAGAATGGGAACCAGTTTCATGTTTTCTTCTGGTAAATCTGTCAAATAAATAAAAAGACACGAGGCAACACTGTGCCTACAAATGCAACTATTCGTGGTACGAGTGTTAAAAGGGAACAAAGTGCTCAAGATGTAGAGAAAAAAAGAGCTCATGTTAAAACAAATACCACCACAGTCAGAAGGTGACGCAGGGTTTGAGTGAGAGACAGACCAGTAAATATGTGAAGGGACTTGAAAAGAGGGGCTATAAAGATAATCAGACAATCCGTCTACCCAAGAACAGAAGCACATGCTCCCTATTTGTCGACACATCAAAGCGCCTCTGTGCGCTTTCTGGAAGGGTGATGTCATTTTACAAATGGAAAAGTACTGCCGGCCACAGTCTGTGGTCATGCAAAACAGCACTGAGTTTCAGTGCTTGGAGTAATCACATTATTGTGTGTAAGTAAGGCGTCACTGAAAATCTAGCCCAGTTTCCAGTTTCCATAAAACTGAATTTAAAATGACGCCTGTTCGCCGTTGCCGATTAGATACGAGCGTGTCTAACAAACTGAGAAGAATCTGATGCGTTATGTGGTTTCATTTTAGAAGTTGGAACATTTTCAGCTCTGTAAAGCAACACATGTGAGACTGGGCTGCTGTTGTTGGTCTAAGACAAACAAGAGTTCACATTTCACACCACTGTATCTACTGTAAGCAGCTAAAGGTTTACTACTACAACAGTAAAATGCATGAAGACTGGAGATCTCTGCCTTTACTCAATCAGACAGAACCACGTGGTTGTAATTCCTGTATAACGTTGGTGTTTGATGTAGCGGTAACTGCGGCCAACACGACAATGTAAAAATACTCTTACATGTAAACACGTAGAAGTATTATCACCAAAATGTATTTAAAGTAACAACAGAAGTTGTTTTGCACCACAGGTGTAATCTTAAATAATACTTATCATACGTTGTTTTTAATTTAAAATTCTAATTTAAAAAAAACACCTGTCAGATATATAGAGTAAAATATGAAATTTTGTAAAAATTACAATATTTCCCTATGAAATATTGTGACTTAGAAATAGCATAAAATGGATATAGTCAAGTAAAGTACAAATACCTCAAAACTGTACTGAAATATGGTACTTGAATAAAGTTAGAAAGAAAGTAAAAAAAATGCAGAATGATGATTATTGAATATCTCACCCGTTGCCTGATCTTGTACATGTTCTTGGACAGGATGTCATGCATGCTCTTCAGGTCACTAGCCAGGAACTTCTTCTTAGGTTTACCAGAGTTTTTCTTTTCTTCACTAAAAGACAAATAAAAACAGATATTAAGAGAAAACTAATGATTTTCTCTACCCCTTTGATCTGAAGGGACAATAAGGAGGTGAGGTGATAGTGAGACAAACAGAGAGACACGATGAAGGTTTCATACTAGAGAGACACGATAGATGGAGCAGCACTGATGTCTCCAGACACCGTGTCCAGGATCTCCATGGCGTTCTGCAGTTCTAGCTTCTTATACAGCGCCACAATACTGGACTCAGCCCGGTTGTCTCGGATCAGGATCCTCCGCAGGATTCGATTGTTGAACTTCATAAACCTGACGTGGAGAGAAAGGGGATTGCAGTGATTAGTTTAAAATATTAGGACAGGGACACTTTATTTTGTTCTGTTGGATCTGTGCTGCAGTAAATTTGATATGAACTGACACAATAATTATGAGGTTTGAAGTAGTGATGGTTAAAGAATGAGGTTGGTGTTATTGTATATCTTTCTTATTGTCAACAAATCCCCTGAAAAGATTAAAACCAACAATGTGTTTGTCATAAAGAAACATGTCAGCCAGTGCAGCAGTGTGGCTCACTGATGTCTTTTTAATGGCTTGGACAACAAAGGAGCTCTATGACACAGAGGAATAAAATAAATCAGACTTTGACTACACAAACAATACCTGTTATTGGGATAAATCCATTGATGTTTTTGGTGTTTTATTGGATTTGTACTGTAACACCAGGCTAATCCTTTTAAGTGCTGACACTCAACTTTAGTTTGAAAGTTATATATCAAACAAAGATTGTAACAATTTATACGCAGATCACTCATTTTAGTTAAAAACGTCATTATTGATTAATAATATAAAATCTGTTTGCAAACATATTTGTTCAAGTGCAAGTTTTGCTTTTAATTTTCATTGTAAAAATGAAAAAAATAATTTGTTTCCTAACTTCATTTATGGCCATTTTATTTTGTTGACATGTTTTTTTTAAATTACTTTTTACGTTTATGTTGGTGCATATAGTTTATTACCTTTTATTTTAGTTTTATATATAGTAGATTGTATTCTAGTTACAAGTGACTTATATACTGTGTACCATTCTTGTAATTCTGCTTCTGTCACACTTTACCTGATTGGGATAAATTATGTTATTTTTTGTTTTTTTGCAGGTGGTGACAGGCTGAAGTCTCTGACTCACATCCATCAGCAGACACTTATCTTACCATCTGACACATCTCAGGTAATGCTCTGTCATGATATCATGTGATCAGTGGGATCAAGAAAAAAAAAAAAACCAAAAACACAATCCAAATACTTTCTGCCCTGTATGTTACTCTGTCGTGTTCTGACAGGAACCCGTCTGACGAGACAAGTATGAAGAGTGTCCAAAAAGCCACAAGGAAGAGAAGGAACACAGGAGAGTCAAAAGAGGTAAAGAAAGAAGTGAAAGCAGTGGAGGCGTGGAGGAGTGTGCAAAAAATAAATAAATAAATATGTACAATATAAAAGATTTGAATAAAGGTATTCTGTCTTTACAAATTGTTTACATCACACCTGACTATGGGAACTATAACGCAGAATTCATTACTGTACATGTTTTGTGTATGTTTAGTTTGCATCCCATTCACACTGTGTTCTTATACTACATGTATTTCAATAACATCAATGCTATATGGTACTAAGTTTGTATACAGTATATGAAGCTTGGATTTAATCACAAAATAGTGAAGAAATCAGCGTTTTAAAAACAATTACCTAAAAAAGAGAAGCTGAAGGAGTAGAAAGAAAAAATGTTTTTTACCCCCAAAAAAGCACCAAAACAAAAAGAACTAGTAACATAATGCATTAATGTAAAGCAAATGTTTAAATTAGCATACTTGGCATGTACCAGGTGTGAGTGTAAAAGATTCAAAAGAGGCTATGAGGAACATTTTACAGGTTTAGAAAGAAAAAATACGAATGTCACTGGCTGCTGATGGTGGAAGCTGAACACGACTCCAGAGTCTAATTGGTTGTAAACATTCCCACAAAGTCCCGCAGTGAACAATAGCATTGTCGAACAAAACCACAAAGAGGGAATCTGAGAGCAGGTCAACTAAAACACACCTTTCTTCCAGTTTCACAGCAGATTCTCGCTCTTTAAACTTTAGGCAACAGAGTAGTTTAACATGAAGTGGGTAATGTGTGCACTCATGACTGTAAATAAGCAATATGTGGTCATTAAAAGCTTTTTGTTGAGCAGAAAGAACAGACAGGAGGAAAGAGAAAGTTCTTACTTGTCTTTCCAGTAGAAGTGGCTCCACTGTCCGCAGAGGTCCTCTATGCCGGCGATGGTGTGCTCCATGAGCTGAGAGCAAAGTGAGGCCTGTTAACACCGTCTGCTATATAGAAATATACCATCTGCCACATTCACAACAATCACAATCTGTTTGCATACCCTGCAGTGAACCTCCACATTGATGGTGTCCAGATTGCGGTTGGTTCTGCGGACGTTGATGTACTCGATCAAAGGTCGAATACTGATGCCCTGTGGAGAAAATAAAGAATGATCACAGATTCAGCAAAACCTTGGTCATCATGCATGAGATGATCAAACTTCACATATTGGAGTTGTAGACTGTAGACCAACTTTTCCGATTATAGTTGTAAAGATTATGTAAAGAACTATTAAAAAAAAAAAAGCTTTTTCTATTTTATTCTACTACTAAGACAAAACACTGATACATATCACACTAATATGAGTTAGAAAGACGAATAATTCACAGCAAACGACTGTGTAAAATGTTTTCTCTCACCTGAAGAAAGACAGTGAAGAGGATGATAGCAATGGTGGCAGTGACAAAGAGCTGCTTGCGGCCGATGTTATCAGGAAGAGTGAAGACCAAGGCAAATGAAATTGCACCTCGCAGGCCGCCATAGGCCAGACCAAATTGGTCTTTCAGGTGAAATGGGATGGTGCGGAAAGGATTAATGATCTGAGTCAACACCAAGACACCTGGGAAGGGAGGAAATGATGTTATTTTTTCAGAAGTTGTATCCTGTGACCAGACCGAGGTTAAACACAACCTGACCTCTAACATGACCCAGGCACCCCCCTTGCCCTCTCCTTACCCAGCCCTCTCCATATAAAAGCAAACAGCAAGGTGAACAGGATATAGCCCCAGTTCCACTCGTGTTCCGTTGTTATCGTGACGACCCCCAGGAAGAAGAAGATGAGGGTCTCAGAGATGGAGCCGAGCATCTTGACCACGTGGCGAATGGTTGTGCAGGAACGCTGGGAAACATTTTCCTCCACATAGTACTTCATGGTGAGCGCGCAGGTCACGATGCTGCAGGGAAACACAAAACACAGGTTTTTGCTGTATTCTTGCAGTGTTGCCATTCAAATATTTGCACCTCGAAAAATGTTAAAATCTACTCACGCCATGATAGACGAGATGGCGAAGAGCTCGGCCACCAGATAGGCCAGGTAGCTGTACATGAATATGAAGAGCGGCTCTATTTCTCGGACCCTGGAGGTGAATCTTGTGGTGAAGGCGGCCACGAAGCCAAACAGGATACCGAAGCCCATCCCACCGAGCCCGACCACGAAGAACCTCGCCACCCCAAGGAAAACATCCACTGGCTCCACAACCGGCATCTCCGCCACAAAGTTGAACATGTTGTACAACACCTGAAAACATGTTCACAGACATACTGAAACTGAAGTCTTTTTATGTGCAGCTTTGCATACACATCCCTGTGAGAGGTCATGGGTGGTGTCAGGGGCTGCAGCCTCTAATGACACACTTGCAGATAACAGTGATTTATTGAAATATTTACTCAGCACTGTTTGCAATTTGATAATCTACATTTCACCAAGCACGCTGAATGACTCACGGAAAAGGAGCATTTGCCAGAGCAGCCAGCTTTGTTCCTTTTCCTCCCGTTCTGCTAGCAGTACACCTCTGACAATGAACAAGGGCAACTTTTTAATTCAATCTTGCTGTCGTTTTCATGGCAATGTGGCTGATTAAAATCTGCTCTCTGGATGCACAAAATCATTAAGTGAGTTTTCAGAGAAAGAAAGAAGGCAAGGACAGGATATCATACATGGAGCCCATATAACATTTTCTCTAGATGCTCAGAGACAATCGCTCAGCCACAGTTTAACTGGCAGAGATAATTGTGGCATCTCACTTGGACGAAGTAAAGGTTTTAATGTTTACTAGCAAACGGTTACTATGCAGAATAAAGGATCCCAGCAACCAAACAAATACACGTAGTACATGGCTTGTTTGAAGCATATGGCATGTGATATTTAAGATTTTAATTATTTGTCAACAAATCCCATGAAAAGACCAAAACCAAACCAATACTTTCCCAGAAGAGTCTAATGCACTCAACAAATTAATAGCTAAATTATCTATTAAATTATCTGGGCTCCGTAATTTTATTTTTGAGGGCTAGTTCAGTTACAGGTTTGTTGCGCTAGTGAGTATTAACAGAATGTTCACGTCTTTTAATCATTTTTGGACAACAATGAAGTGCTGCTGTATTGCACAGAGGAATGAGCTATATCAGGCTTTTGCCACACACAGACAACACTTGTTAGTGTTAGTAGGATCAATTCATTGTTGGTTTCATTCTATGGGATTTGTTGTTAAGAAGAAGAACACAAAATATCACCAGACTTATTCTAACAGGGTTAACTAGCCTTGGAAAGATCAGAAACAAACAGGAGCTTTTTTTTCTTCCTTTTCTTAACATTTATCAAAAGCAGAGCTGTGTGTTAGAGTGAGGCAGCAACAATTCCCTGTTTTAAATTTACACATCATGGAGGATACAGAGGATAATCGGGCCCTCACAAGTGAACTGGGTCCTCTCCACCATCTGGGCTCCTATGACTGACACCACCTTTTACCAAACTATTGACTGCAGTGCTCCTCGGAAGTATTTGTACTTCTGGCAACTATTATAACATCTTGTTTGATGGGCACAATTCTGCAACACAGAGTTCTCTGTACAGACCACACCTTGGCTTTCCCAGTCTCCCGAGTAAATGTTTGTCTTCACTTTTCAGCTCCGCTACTGTGTACTAAACAAAAGGGTCACCACACCAAAGGTAAGAGCAGGGATGGGTGGGTGAGTGGGAGGGCGTGTTTGAGAACAATAAAAAAAAAAAGGTGAGGGGGGAAATTTGAGCTTGAGCTACCTTCAGTCAGGTTTCAGACGATGGTGTGTGTGTGTGTGTGTGTGTGTGTGTGTGTGTGTGTGTGTGGTAACTCCTCCCATGCAGTCAAATGTAACAGTGACCTCAGAAACAGGTTATGCTGCATCTGAATAAACAGGCTCCCAAAAGGAACACAGTTCAGATCTGTGTACATCTGTGGATCTGTGTTTTCATGTCTCTAACAACATTCCCTCACTTCCATTTATGAGTGATTTATCTGTTCAGCAAACTTGCCAGTGCACAGACGTTTCCCTCCCACACATTATGTTCTCATACATGCATACTAACCCAGAAGAGAGAGTGAACTAATTGTACAGTATCTGCAGAAACCTGAGCTGAGCCTTTAGAGAAAGAATAGAAAAGCTTCAGACAACACGATACTGGATCTGCCATTTCATATAATAGCGGTTTTAACATTAAGGGTCCATGCTGGATCTTAAATGGTAGGTGGAGTTACAATAGTCCAGTGTGAATAGGATGTGTAGAGCAAAATACTGACCGTACGTGCCCATATTTGACATATGATCTTTATGGGATCCATATTGATCAGTAAATTTGTTTTTGTTTTTTTAAATTGTGTTGTCTCTGTGGTGTTAGATTACAATTTGTACCCACACCAGTTGCAGCACTTTTCCAATTTTTATTTTCTCTCTGTATCTGCAAGAGGCCCACTGAGTGCAACCTTAAGGTGTATTCGGTCACTGAAATACGTCCCATTATCCCGGAAAAAATGCCATTAACACATAAAGAACAGTTGTAATGGCACCATGCTCATTACTCAGCATATTTCCATAATAAGCAGTAGCCCAGAGGTATCCAAAGCAGGCCAGCGTGTTGCAACAAGTCTCAACTCAGTGTAAAGGGCACTTCTAAGCACGACAAATGTCCTGCTAACCTGCACAAATTCAAACACACTTTCACAGTCTCCGTCACTTACCACAGTGACGGCATCATTGAAGAGGCATTCCCCAAACACCACAATGTAGAGCTGCTCGTTGACAGACACGTCCTCAAACACACTCAGCACAGCCACAGGATCCACAGCCGAGATGATGGAGGCAAACAGCAGGTTTTCCTGCAGGTTGATGTCCTGCACTTCAAACGCCTCGATCTGACAGATGGCAAACAGAGACATGCCAATGCCGATGCTGTTCCACAGAGTCCCCACCACTGCAAACCACAACACCTGCAACAGAAACAGAGAGGAAAAAGTCTAATTGCTCTTTATATGAGAACAACAGGTTGAATCTGGGTTAGGAAGTGGATTTGTAACCGACCGTGCCAATGTTCTCGAAGAAAGGCCTGGTGGGCATGAAGTAGCCCGAATCCAGGACGATGGGGGGCAGCATGTAGAGGAAGAAGACATTGCTGCTGAGCACAGCGGGGGGCTCCTCATGGACAGAGTGCATGATGCCACCCACAATCAGACCAATGCTGATCAGAAGGCAGGACTCGGGCACCCAGATGGTGATCTTGTGGTATACATGGAAACCTGAGGAACGAGAGGTAACTTTAGTTTAAAAACAGGAACAGGGCTGTGAAAGAAGCAAAGAGTTTACCTGCACCCTCTATGAAAGGGCCACACCTATTACCTTAACCCATCTCTGTGTCCATACAGTCACCAGTTTGAGTTTATGTTACTGTTACTCACCAATTTTTGCGAATGAAGCCAGCAGCACCCAAAGAGTGATTTCAAATGGGATCTGTATTCTTGGGTAATCCATTGTAAACACGGGTAAATTTGCCTTTTCCGCGTCTGGAAAGGCCTGGGGGCCATCGGGCTTGACGGGGGGGACAATCGTGACACCGCCGGTCGGTTTCGGAGGGATTTCTCCTCTGGAGCCATACAGAAGGCTGAACAATATGAAAACAACGAGTAACACTTCTGTCCGTCTGGAAATGTGTAAATCCATTGTGCACAAAAAAACCACAGCCCCCACACGGTAATTCAAACTGATGTGAGTATCAATCACTCCATCCAACTTCACCGGAGAAAAGAGATTAAAAAAACTCGAACAAACTCCTCTAACAGTTGTCAGGTTTAATCTTCTCGGATGTTCTCACTGCACCATCTCCTCAGCACTCTCCTGCAGTGATGCCTCAATTAACTTCTGAGGGCTATGCGATCCGGACTCCTTCAAACTGAGGGACAACACACCTGTGGTTTACCTGCAGCGCGTCCACGAGTTCCGATACAGGCTGGGCGCGGCCCCGAGCGCCGCTCTGATTGGGTGCCACCTGAAGCAGATAGAAAGGGTGGGGACGCGGCGGTTTTCTGCGGGCCATTCAAGGGCCACTCTTTAGGTTTCGGTGACACCTGTTTCCTGAGCTACACAAGTTTCAACTTTGACTTGTAATACATAGGCTACTGCTTCTCTGATTTTTCTAAAGTGGTTTATGGACTACACGAACACACAGATTAATGAGTATAGCCTGGCCCTCACAGAGCAAATTAGTGAAATGTTGACAATGAAAACACTTTTCAGGAACCTCATATAAACTGGTTCCTTCATTTAAAGATTAAATCTTTAACCAGTTTACCTCTCAGATTCAATATTGATGATAACATAAAAAGTGAATTCTCCCAACATTGGTGTTAACAGCATTAAATCTTTCAGTCTTTGTCCACTTAGTCTGTTTTTAGCATGAAACCCCATTTTCACCAGGAAAGAATAAAAAAAAAATTTAAAAATGAGAGTGAAATCGTACGTTTTATTTATTTCTTGACATACATTATCTCTTAAAGAACTGGCCAAAATGGCAGAACACTAAACACAAACAAATAATTTATATGCACATACAGTACAATAAGAAAGGACCTGGAGGCATGAAGGAGAGAAGCTTTACTGTTTTAAACATGTTTTGAATTTTAAAATAGCATTTTAAAGCCTGATATGAAGATAGCATTTCCAAAATACCCATGGAAAAACTTAACTAACTATAAAACTAAACTATAACTTTGAGGTGGGTGTGAGCAGCAGGCAATGCAGCAAGTTTCATGTTCATGAATGTCCTGAATCTGGTTCACCATGGTTTGCCACTTGGCCTCCAACACAGCTGGATCTCCATGTGAGAGGAAGCATTTCACAGATGGTTAATGATGGCTGCCCTCAACAGAGAGCGGGTCTTCACACTCAACAGCATCCAAAGTCTTCTGATTTCAAAACAGAAACAATGTTGAAAAATACAATATAACTGTAAAAGGAGTCAACCTGAAGTGAATGACCAAAATCCAAATATACTCTTACTTCTACCAAAGTGCCAAACTTAAAAAAAAAAGTGTGTGGCTATAATTCTAATAATACTTATAATACTAATAAAATATACTTCTCGCTGCAAGTATTGTATACTTAGATTGTATGTGTAGGTTTATCTCACATCAGGAGCAGCTTTGGTCTGACTTAATCCAGTGAAGTCACTGACTTGTTACATCACAGTCAAACTTATTTGATAGTATGTTCAAATTCTGACTAAGCATTAGCTGTTTAGCTGTTTTTATTTTTATCATTCCAGATTTTTAATAAGAATTTGATTTTAAACTAAATGTTGATCTATCTCATAATTCTGACCTATTATCTTGTACTTCTGAAAAAAAAGCTTCAGTGTTGACACAGTATTTCCTAATTTTGACTTACATTTTTTTAAAGAATTTTTCACCTTCCATAATAATTTTGACATAGTCTATATCAAAATATTGGCTTAGTATCTCAAAAATATGATTTAGTCTCTCATAAGTTTGACAGAAATTACTGATGTGGGGCTCAATGACTTTTATTTTATAAAAAGTCCCTCCCAAGTTATATTAATATTTTCTTTGGACCTTCCCCTTGACTCAGAAAAAAAACTACACTTCCCTCCACCAATATCTCAAAATAATATATCTATGATAAACAACAAAATACTGAAAATACATTACAGTAACCTTTTGGTGGGAATGTGCGGCCATAGTATTCATCTGACAGAGATGCTGTTATTTTAGTCAATGTACACAATAAGGCGTTCTCCACCAACGTCCAATCGTCCACCCACCCACAACAAACAACATGTGAGCTTATTATCTTTGGTACAGTCGGTCTCTGCAGAGAGGGCCGGCAGCGCCCCCCAGTGGACAGAAGGTGGGGGTGCTTCCAGTGGGGCTATTACGTCTCGATGTGTCAGAGGGAGTCAGGGCGAGTCTTGACTGCAGACATCGTCGAGTATGCAACCAGGATGCGCATCAATATGAAAAGAAACCTTCGCATTTCTCTGAACGGTATGAGATATTTATGTTTTGTGTGTGTTTGCCTTTTGATGTGCGGTCATCTCGCGGTTTGTCGAGGGCGTTTGTTCACAATGATTGATGCTGCCGTGAGGAGATGAACAGCACCTCGCAGCAGGAGCAGAATAAGACATGTTTACAGCCACAGCAAGGTCTCAGATGTCGATGTAGCTCTTTTCTTTTTATACATGGCTTGTATTCTTTTATGTTTAGATTGTGCTGAACGGAGTGCACGTCCTGCAGCACCATGCAGCATCTTCACTGAATGAGCATCAGCAGATATCATGACGCAATATTTGTTATTGTCCGAGTGTCAGTGAACAAACATGTATCCACTCTGAAGTATATTAACAGTAATACTGGCCAGTGTTGCCAAAAATAGATTTCCTGCCTGTGTCTTGTTTTTTCCACCTACCGGCTGGTAAACAGACAGGACGACTCCCTGTTTCATGCAGGTTTATGGGAGGCCAGGAGGGTGTTGGTGTAGGATTAATGTTACATATCACTTTTTTTCCTTTTTTTTTTTACATTATATCCAAAACCGGATGTGTTGCTTATGAATCACCGTGTCAACAGGCCATTGAAGGCCTCCCAGATGCTCCTAACAGAGCAATAAGGATTAGATTTGATCTGTCAGTTTTCACTGTTTTCCTAACAGAGAGGGAAGTAAATGTCACTGAGGTCTGTGCCAACCTCTGTCTCTCATTTTCACATCTGTCCTTTTGTATCTGTGTGCGTGTTTCTGATGAAGATTTCTGAGAAATAAATTGAACAGGACTCCTGAACCTGCCCGCCTGCACAGTGTTGTTAAAGTAGTCCTCAGTGTTTCTCCTGTAGGATCCACAGTGTAACTGTGAATGTGATCCTGTAGCATCATTAACAAGAGTTCATTCATCATCATCATTGTCGTTGTCGTCATCAAAGGTTCCTTTCTCATGCTCAGTTTACTGCTGTCTTGGTAACAAGAGCTTCTTTATGCATGACGTTATTTCCTTTTCACGTTGGTTGGTGTGTGTGTGTGTGTGTGTGTGTGTGTGTGTGGATAAATGTTATCCTGGGAATAAACTAGTTTGCATATTCTCTTCCTCTCTGATCAATCAGATCAGAAAGCAATTAATGGCTCACTGTGGATGCAGTCCTCCATCCATGTGTCTGTAGCGGACATTTCTACATCAAGTTGACGATTGTAGATCGGACTCGAGGGAGGGCAGAACGGCACAGCTCAGCTCTGGACTGGAACAGGATCAATAGAGTGAAATTGAGAGGAGCATCAGGGTTATGGGGGGACACTGGAAAGGGAGGAGAAAGGACAGGGTTGATGACGAAGCAGAAGATGGGTGGCATGAGGCATTCAGGAGAGATTTAAAAGGATGAGGAGGAGGTGAGTTGAGAAAGAGGATGTCTGAGAGTGAGGCACTGCAGTGCAGCCGGTCCTGACAGCATCTGCAGGGGGGCCAGCTGTGAGCCGCCAGCCCGACTAACTGGGTCATTTTAGTTTCCAGACCGCCCCAGAGGACTTTCTACCACCTGAATCCTCTCTACTTCTACACACCACCTCAGTTGTGCCTACCCCATCTTTTATTCTTCTCCCCTTAAAGCTGGAAAACTAAAATGTCTCTCAGTGACCTGTTTTCCCTTATTGAGGTCAGAGGTCACATACAGAGCAGCTGTGGAGCTGGTCAGCATTCAGCACTTCATCAGTGTGGATGCTTGCTGTTATAAATCTTTAACAACCAGCCACACTGTGGCCAATCTGAAAGGACGCCCATATCTCCAATACTCTATAACTACAACTAACAGTTATCTGCCAGTAAGAGCTCAAACCTTCAGTCAGTTAATCGATTAGTTGATTTTCACACAAGAATAACAACCCGTTTTCTGGTTCCAGCTTCCTTCCTTTTCCGTCCACTGATACATCAGTTAATTGATTAATCATTTCAGCAACACTCAGGGCCGTTTTATCTCCCTTCAAGCATGTAGCTGATAACTGTCAGACAGATGCAATGATGATGATCCGTGGCTCCCCGTGGCTTTGCATTAGATCCACTGTGGGTTTCCTAAAGAGCTTCCCACAGTGCTCCAGGCAGTGGAGATTACAGCATGTTAAAAGACAGCTCCCACTGACACCGCCTAATGAGGCAGAGCAGCCACGCTGTAATTGTCATCTGTTTTGGTCTCACATGAAGATGCCAAAACAGAGATTAAACTGGCAGAGAGCATGCGTGTGTATGCAGATGAGTGTTTGTATGGGTATGTATGTTGAAGATGGTGATTTCATTTGTGTGCGGTTTGTGACGTCAAAACAGAGTCACATGTAAAAATAGACTCTGTTGCAGGAAATCCTTACACATGAATGCACAGAACAGTTGTTCTGCTCTTGTCAGTGTGGTATCAAATAAACAGAAAACACACATAAGACAAACACTCGCAGTACCTAATATCACCTCAGTCTACCAGGTCTGTTTGGGCTGATAAGGGGGAGAAATTTGTTCCACCTGATCACTCTGAGCAAAGGCGAGCGGATATTTGTGCAGCACACACACAAGTACTATTGAGGAACGGTAACTGAGTCTGACATATCACAGGAAGTGTAAACAGTTAGCTCGTAGGGCCATTTGAAGCCGCTTTCAGATCAGGTTAGTCATCAGACCTCTTACTGAGTCCCTTTCCTGTCCTCTTAACCTTTCACATTTTCTTTACGCACAATTTCTCTATTTCCTGTTCTTAGGTCTGTGGCTCATATTAGGGCTTACTTCTGCTTTGCAGGAGATAAATCAATGCACAGACAGCTTGATGGTCTTGTTGTTGATTCTCACTCTCACATCTGTGTTTCTTCTTATATTCTTTGTGTGTGCCACACTTGGCACAGTCTTTAGTTTCCTGTTCTCTCACTATTGCACGTCATTTTGGAAGGTGCAGCCCTTTACGCTGTGGCTTCTGCATTATCAGACTTATCGTAACAAAATGAGTATCAGATATAACAAATGAGTTTCGGTTTCACAGAGTTGCACCACAAGTGCTTACTGAGTGTTGCCAAAACCTCCTGTTAAATTTAAAGAACAGGGACGTCCTGGTGACCTTGTGGTTCAAGGCACAGACCATGTCACTGCAATGTCCTTGGTTCGAGTCCCACTAGGGGGCCTTTGTTGCAATTTATTCCCCATCTCATCATTCCCTTACAGCTCTCTACTGTCCACAATAATAAAGGCACTACAAACTGTTAAAGAACTGACTATAATACGATATACAGAGAAATTCATGCTGGATAATGAATCCTGGTGTTTTTCACAGGAGGAACAACAATATACGTTGTTTGTCTTTGTTTCATTTAGGGGCTGCTTGACGCGCTTTACTTTTGATTATTGACACTGTATAGACACAAGGGAACAGACACAGGAACAAGGAAAAATACTGAATTATTAGTCAAAATGGTGTGTATCTGTTATATCTAGAGTAGATAAAACTGAGACTATTAACTCATTATATATGTCATCTATGTTTGACATTAATCTTTATGAAAGAAGAACCCAGTTTACTAAAAAACACACACCAGGAAAGCACAAAAAGCATCAGGAGGTAGAAGGTGAAGATTCAGTCTGCTGCAGCTCTGTGTTTCATATCCTGCAGCTGTGTGTGAAAAGTCACACTTTTCCCCACAGAATTTATTTCCACTGCCTATATTAGCACATTATCAGAGGGAAAGAGAGCACTGACAGAACACAGCCTGTCATACACTGTTCATTTCATAAAGGAGCATCGACAGCCAACTTACATGAGTTATCTATTGCTTTAACCTTGTGTATTGAAGACTGTAATGTGCTAATGAGCATGAGTGCAGCCAGCAGCAACCGTCATTTGGATAATTACAAGACGTTTTCTAATTTTGTCAAATGTTTTTGTGCTCAGCCAGAATCTTGTTGAAAGGTATCAAAAGGCTGCAGATGTCCAGTTTGTCTCATCTACTTCTGTGGGGACAGCAGATGATCACTTTGTGGTTTTCTTCTCTCTCTCTTTCAGTTTTATCATTGAGAAACGTGTGACTGCTCAGATCAGCACACAAGGGAAACCAGCGTACACACACACATCTCAAAGAACTGTCGTGACACACGAGTGTTGGATTTTGAGTCTGCGTCGTCATCGTTCTGCTCTTCAGCCCTTCTTATTCTCAAATCCGTCCTCAACCCCGACGTGAACCCACCATGTCCGGGAAGGAGCGCAGCCCCCGCCATCGGCCATGGTCTGTCTACCGGGCCAACACGTTTGATCTCTCAGCTGAGATGATGGGGCTGGCTCTGTCAGGTAACTAAGTAACTGCTGCCATGGTAACCTATTTACTTCATTGATGATGAAATAGCAGGGCGTTATTAAAAAAAAAAGTCTTTCTCTCTGTCCTACAGGCAACAGTCAGGATCCAGACGAGCCTGTGCTGGAGTTCAGCGTGGGTAAGTTCAGGAAGAAGATACACTGCTGCACACTGCTGATGGGTCAGACTGTGTGTCTACTTTTACTAGAAATGGTTTAATTAGTAATGGTTATAATATTTAACTTTATTGGGACGTTTATTGACAGAACTCGTTTCATTTACGCCAATGACGCCTAATGACTCCAAGATAGTTGATCATTAACAAATCTCATGACCAGACCACAACCAACAACCAACAGACCGCAGTAACCACACACAGGCAAGTGCTGTACTCAAAGCCTGATATAGCTTATCGCCCTCCATTGTTGCTCCATTGCTCTCCAAAAACTATTAAAAACACATTAGCAAGCTATGTTGGTTCACTGGCTGACATCTTCCTTCATTATGATGAACATGGATACTGTAGTTTATTTTTAGGCAATCACTCATACACTGTGCTGCTCAGTAGTAAAAGCTCAGTAGTGCACTAAATATGTGTATCTCCACAGATACAATGGTCTCCAACAAATACACTTTTTACTTCTGTTTGTGAACTGTTTAATACAACTACAGTGCCAAGCTGTTATAGCAAAATACTGGGCTTTTTTGAAAAATGAAACTATATATTTGTGATCTGTTTTTAAATATTTATGTCTTAAGTAGGAACTTATGGGCTGCTGCCACAGATAAGTAGGGAAACTCTAAAGTACTAAGGGATTAACTGACACATTGTTGGTTTTGGTCTTGTTCTGTAATATGAAAGTGGTCGATGATAGTTTTACAGCCCGCCTTGAGGGAAGGACAAAGAGAAGAGGACAACACATGACCTTTTAACTGCAGATTTAATACAAGTTGAACAACGACAATATAAAGTATGTACATTAATAACATTGGTAGTGTTTAGCATGTAATGAACAAAGAAAATGAACACAGAAATAACAAACAAACCAAATGCCTAGGGATAGAGAGAGAGAGAGAAACTGAGCGTATATATCTGAGGAGCAGCAGGTGTTATTCAGTGATGCACTCACTGTTTCCCTTCTAAAAGAGACAGACAGCCCAAACAGGAAGTCAGGAGGGCTGTACTGTCAGGAGGGACATAGTCAATCTGCAGTTCCCCTCTGCTTTTTGGCATAATTTAGCTTATTGTTTTGATTTTACTGTTTTAGTTCACTGTTGTCTTTTAAAGACACAGCATGATATTTTCAGTGAAAAGCTCTTATGAACCCACTGTTTGCTACCTGCCCAGCACAAAAACAGACAAAGTTAGCAGTTATCTGGTGAACAAAGTAAATTAGCAGTTTAAGTGATGGATTTTCCCTCAAGACTTTGTAGAGACCTAAAATAAGAGTTCTAAACAGCTAAAAGGAGAGTGAATATTGGAGTGGTGGCCGGAAACACAAATTCAAATGAACGCTAATGTTACTCCATGTCTGTAAATAGGCAACTCAATGCTGATATGTTCACCATATTAATTTTATACAGTGATAATATGTCACTATTATGTTTATAGCTTGTTCAGTTGCCCCCCAGTTGTCCAAAAATAATAATCTGATGCTGCTTTAAAGGATGAAGGCTGATGTTTTCTGTCAGGGATTAGCTCAAGAGGCAACTACATGATTTGTGTCGAACGACTTGTTTAATTTTTATCCCTTGTTCAACCTGAAAGCATTACTGTAAACTACTGCTGCTCGTCAAGTACTAACAACTCAAAAATACTGTATTACATTCCTCCCACGGCCAAGGATTAGTGACCATCCCACCATGAAATCCCACAGTTTGTAATCTCTTCCTGTATTTATATGTTGCTGCAGCCTGCAGTGAGCTGGTCACTCCCTCTCTGGACCGCAAGCCAACCAGCTTCGTCGCCATCAGCTGCACCACTCCGCCCCAGGCCTTCTGGACCAAGCACGCTCAAACTGAAATCATAGAGGTACACCACTGCTCGCTTGCCCTTGCTTCCTGCCCTCTGTTGGAGATGTCAAAATGATCTCACTTCTCTCTGTGTGTCTCTCTGTCTCTCTCTGTCTTCAGGGCACCAGTAACCCAATCTTCCTGAGCAGTGTAGCATTCTTTCAGGACTCTCTGATCACTCAGCAGACTCAGGTCAAGCTCTCTGTCTACGATGTAAAGGACCGCTCGCAGGGCACTGTAAGCCCCAGCTCCACTGTCTTCAAATTTCCTGTTTGGACGTGAATAAAGTTTTTTATTTATTTTAGACTTATCTGGTGGAAATCTTCTAAATCTTCTGGTTCTGTGTACTTTTATGTGACAGATGTACATGCTTGGTTCGTCCATGTTTTCTGTGAAAGAGCTGCTGCAGGACAAACACCACAGACTGCACCTGACTCTCAGGTAACAAGCATGCTCTCTCAGTGACAAAATGCTTGCTGGATTTGGGTTCAGGGGGTTTGGGTTAACTTACTTGTGGGTCACTGTGGGTCAGGTCAGCGGAGAATGAGCGTGTGGGGAACATCACCGTCATCGCCTGGCAGATAGAGGAAAAGCGCGAGCAGAGAGCTCCCGTTGCAAGACTTCAGAGAGGAGACACTGTTAATGGAAGGGTGAGTGACCAGGGAGTCGGGACAGAACTACTTGTGTTTTTCTCATAAAAGTATTAGAACTGAAATGATTAGTCGATTAATCGATTATTAGAGTGACAGAATGACATTGTGACATTTTTTGATAATAAATTCATTGCACAATACTAAACTTTGCTTAGTTCCGGCTTCTTAGTTGTGAAGATTTTCTGCTTTTTGTCATCTTATGTCATTAAAAGATACATGTCTTTATGTTTTGACTGAGAAAACAAGGTATTTGATGATTGTGATGGGCTGTTTTCTGACCTTTTTAGGCCAAACAATTAATGAACAAATATATATTTATATAAATATATAAGTAGCAGCCCTAGAGAATAGATTTTACTTCATAGTAACATTTGCCTGACTAAGTATCTCTGCCCCATTTCTGGTTGCATCGTTACAGATCAATTAATTAGGAAGTTAGACACATAACACTAGGCATACGCTATTGTGATTCTTTGGCCGTTTTTTGTATGCTGTGTATCTCAGATGGTTCTCCCTGTTGATGAGAGCCTGACTGAATCCATGGGCATTAAATCCAGATCTTCATCTCTGTGTAAAGACCCACTGCTAAAGGCTGGTGAGTGTGTCCATATGAGCTAAATATCAACCTCCTGTGTGACGGGTGTGAGAGTTTAGTAACAGGTGACTCACGGCTGTGATACTATGTTTTGGTCTGCTTTAGTGTTTGGGGGCGTCATGTCGCGAACATACCGGTTCCCCACCACAGACGGCAACCACCTTCGGACCCTGGAGCAGATGGCGGAGAGTGCGCTGTCTCTGCACATCCCTCGACAGTTTGTCAAACTGCTGTTGGAGGAAGATGCTGTCAGGTAATGTCTAAAATGTGTGTTTATATTATTGAACATCTGGCTATAGGAGCAGCAGGGTGTTGTAGTTCAGTGGTATTCAACCTTTTTGACCTATTAAAGGCTACTCTTTGTCAAGGCTGTGGTACGTCAGTGCAGTCTTGGCCTCGAGTCGGATCTGGAGACAATTCCCAACTTGTCTCTGTGTCTTGTTCTGGGTCTTTTTTTCCATTTTATTGCTACTGTTGTTTACAAGTGAATGTGTGGAAATATGTGATACTTTCTATTCTAATTACATTTTGGACTCAACCCACATTTGAAGCTCTGCATTCTGTCACAGGTTGAGAATAAGTTGCAGGCAGCTTAACCAAAGACTGATGCCCCCCTCATCATTTTAAGCTGCCTGAAGAGATTTAACTATCTAGTGTTTTACAATAAAAAGAAATAATGAAGTGAAAGAAATTGTATTAATCTTGCAGGCTGTTAGTTGTACATTGTAACCTCATTAGCATCCATTGTGTGTCAGTGTATGTGTCGATAGCTTTTTTGTCTCCTTTGTAGCCAGTAAACTGAAATTTGTGTGCGCTTTGTGTGTGTATATTCTATATGTACTCTATTACTGTATCGCCATCATATAGTCAAAAAAACATTATTATCACGACTCCCACTGTTGCCATTATTACTACTGGTTGCTTGTAATGTGGGTGATTTGGATCCGCTCAGCTGTTCTGTTTATTGCATAGACCTTAATTGAAAAAGCTGCACTAACTGCTGTGAAGCTGTGAGGTCCTCAGTGCATCAGCTGGATGTCCTGATAACAAACCGTGTGTGTGTGTGTGTGTGTGTGTGTGTGTGTGTGTGTGTGTGTGTGTGTGTGTGTGTGTGTGGATTCACAGGGTGTGTGAGCTGGAAGAACTGGGCGAGCTGTCTCCATGTTGGGAGAACCTGAGGAGGCAGATCATCACTCAGTATCAGACCATCATCCTCACCTACCAGGAGACCATAAGTGACCTGCATGAATACAAAGGTTTGGACCACACACTAGATAGATATCATTTTAAAGGGCCTTTACACTAATTATAGCTTATATACTTATATACTAAGTTAGTCACAGGGAGTACTACACAGCCTGTGAAGACATTTCTGTGAGTTTGGGGGAGCTTTGTCAAGTCCTATGCAGGCATTTACCAGAAAGTAAGGGTCTAATGAAAAGATGCTTTTAAGTTTAATTATGGGAAGTGCAGGATCCAGTGTTTTTAGGGTTGGATATCTCTGGATACCTCTGCTGCATCGGTTTTGATCTCCCGCACTGTTTCAACAATTTTATGTTTTACCTTTCCCCCTTTTCTCCTCCCTCCCAGGTCCATCATTTAAGTCAAGTACCTTGAAAGCTGAGAGGAAGTTGGAGTTTATTCCTACTAACCTGCACATCCAGAGGATGAGAGTACAGGGAGAGTCTGGCTATGGTAAGAATTTGTGCACATACGGTATGTTTGCATGTACTGGATGTCTGTGTGAGTCCAAGGCTTTAATAATGTTGTTCATTCAGTATCTTCATCCTCTTTGTTACTGTTCTCCGATTAGACCGGACATATGATGTCGTGACTATTGGTGCTCCTGCTGCACACCATCAAGGCTTTAAAGGCTGCGGCCTCCGAAAACTGCTGCAAAAGCTTGAAGAAGCCAGGAAACAGTGAGTAGAGCAAAGCAGAAAATGCAGGGTTCTTGTGACATTAGTGTCATGTTGGTGATTTTAATGCATCTTTTTTTGTACTTCTTTACTCTATCAGCACTTATGGGGAGGAAAGGTGAGATTACATGTGGTGTATTGCAGGTTTCTTGTGTGTGTTTTTTGTCATTTTTGCCTTACTTGTTCCAAAATGTATCTTCTCTTTTATGTCTTTGTCTTTCACACACACACCTGAAGCTCTGCTGGCTCTGGCTCCAAAGGAATGGCGTACCAGCCTCAGGATGTTGTGAAAGCGAAGGAGCTGATTGCTCAGATTAACACTCTGAAGACACAAGTGTGTTACTACACTGAACGTCTGTCTCGAGCCGCCAAAGACCGCTCAGCCAACGCTCTGGAGAGAACCCTGGCCATCCTAACAGAGAAGGTAAGAGCTCAAGTGCTGTGTTATAGTTTCTTCCCTGTTGAATCTCACTCAATTTCACCTTCTCTCTCCTTCCCGCTTTCACTAAATCCTCAACCTCTTGACTTTTATCTCAACTCTTATTGCCTGGATAGAAATGACCACGTCTTACAAGCTTAAAATGTCTTTTTTAATGTCTTCTGTCATTTCAATTGTGACATTCGAGTACAGCAAGAAAAGGACTAATAGAATACTATACAACATACTGTATAAAACAACATTATGTTCTTATTAGACTCACTGACAACATCGTTAGTTACAGTTACAGAGAAACTGACACACCAAAATACATTTCTTTAAAGGTCCAGTGGAATATAATATCCATAGGTATGTGTGTATAATCACTTGAATATAAGAATTGAATGAGCTGTTATTATCTACAGATGCTGCAGGTCGCTATGTTGAACCACCATGTTGAACCACCATGTTTCTACAGTAGCCCAGAATGGACAAACCAAACACTGGCTCTAGATAGGGACTTTAGCATTTTTCGCGAGTTTCATGGCCACCATAGTTTCTCACTTATTTTTTGAAATAAATTCAAATTTAATTTAAATGGCTTTTTGGTCCCACTGATTATTTTTAATTGTTGTTGTTGCTGACACCTTTGTTGAGCAGTGAGATATACAGTTACATTGTACACAAGTTTAAACCTAATAGACCATAAGAAATAGACACAATAACATGGTCAGTTGTTTTATGCTTTTAAAAAAAGACATTATGCCAAACTAACACAAGTCTCTGCTCCCTCATTTTTAATCTCATAAACTTTAAAGAGCATTTTTTGCCCCAAGTCCGTGATAATTTCATGCTCACAGTATAACCACATTTTTCCACTCTCTCCGGCCTCTCTCCGTCCTCCGGCAGACTCGGCAGTTGGTGACTGTGTGCGACTCCAAGTTGCTGTCCTCAGCCATCCTCGCTCTGGCAGCTGCCCGCCCAGAGTTCACTCAGCAAGGCAGCCCATCCCCATCCTCCTCCTCTCTCTCCCCCTCCTCTTGTTCCCCATCACGCTCCCCCTCCCGCCACCCGACCTCCCCATCTCGTGCTGCCACCTCGCCTTCTCGCCATGCAACTCCTCCGGAGGGCAGCGAAGGGAGTAAAAACAAGCGCACCTCCTTTCAGGCAGATCTGCACGAGGATGAGTGGGTAAGAGAAGAGTGCATTAATGAATTGAATGTGTGTTTATGTGGTTTTTATGGTAACTCCATTTATAATGTGTGTGTCTGTGTGCAGGAGAAGGTTTGGCTAAATGTTGATAAGAGCCTGGAGTGTGTGATCCAGAGGGTGGACAGGCTGCTGCAGAAAGACAAACTCCAGAGCGACAGTAGCTCTGAGGATGTATTCCTGCTTGCCACTGAGGAGCCGAGTAATGCTAAGAAAGGTATACACACACACACACACACACACACACACACACACAGAAGAAGCTTTTTGTCTGCGTGGTCTGTAAAAGAGGCACAATCATGCACCAATGTATTGATTGATCTCATTGCTGAGTACAAAGATCAGAAGGGTAATACGAATGTGTCACTCTCATGAGGTATTCATAGTAACCAAGAAGCTTTCTAGATACATCCTGAACATAAAGACACGGATTTACCTCCATCATCTTCACTGCAGCCATCATGTCATCCTCTATTATCATCACCATCCTCGCATCAAAATCATCAACCATCATCATCATCATTCTCTCGCCAGACTCCTGCATGCCTTTCACATCCTATTGATCACATCTGTAGGTTTATTCTTGTTCATCATGTTACCTGCCTCAGTGTTGCTGGATGTTTACAATCTGAAGTATAATGTTGAGTTACAAGCAGAAGTTGAATTAAGTCCTAATCTAAACATCCTTTACTTTCTCTCACTCGTAGATAGCAGCCCAGAGGTAGACAAGACGTCCCCAGGTGAGAACAATGTTTCCTTAACAAATGATTCCATGTGCGAAGATACATGTATTCCTGCCATTTGATTATTGTTTGAAATGTTAAAATACAGCATTGTTTTTTGTATTAGTCACATGTAAAACATTTTTCAGAATAGGACCAACTGTACTAAAATATTGCGAAAGGAATTGTAAACCTTTTTTTGTAAAAAATCTTTCAACCAAAACTCTTTCAAACCAGAATTTGAATCTTTTTTTAATTCAAGGATATCTGCAAAATATCATTACCATAAATGTGAGATTATACCCTGTGTGTGTGTATTATGTGTTTAACCTGTGTGACTGCAGGTGAGTGGAGCGACGCTCTGTACCCTCTCCTCACCACGCTGACTGACTGTGCGTCTCTAATGAGCGACAAAGCCAAGAAGGCCATGGTGTTTCTGCTGATGCAGGACAGCGCCCCCACCATCGCCATGAGCCTCACCCTGCAGTACCGCCGCGACGTTGTCTTCTGCCAGACGGTCCGTCAACTTCTACCTCCCCCTTCTAGCTATTCTGTCTTATTATGTGGTTTAGAATAATAACATGTCATTATACTGGGTGCGTAACATGATTGATAAGATAGATAAGATATGATGATTAAAAACGGTCATCGCTGTACTGATATGAGCTGTGCTGCTTACAGCTGACGGCGCTGATCTGCGGCTTCGTTATAAAGCTGAGGAACTCTCTCTGTGACTCAGGCTTCCTCAGGCAGCTACACACCATCGGCTTACTGGTGCAGTATGAGGGCCTGCTCAGCACCTACGGTAACCTGTGTGTCAGAGTGTTTGTGTGCGTGTGTGCTTTTTTAGACATTTATCATCACACAGAAAATAGAAAGCCTAAGCCTAAATTTAGACGGTCTGGTTTATCCTAAATCCTGTCAGGGAACATCTTGCACAATTTCAAGTAATGACCACTTAAACTTGATAATTTAAATAAACCATGTTGCTGGTGCGCCGTCCATATGAAAAGACTATCACTGAATGAAACTGAATCAAAATGAGCTGGATTGCAGAGAGTAAATATTAACATGTACAGTCTAAATCTGATTTAAATTGCATTACCCATTTGGAAGTTAAGGCATTGTATTTCAAATAGGCCATACTTGCCAATAGATTTAGCAACAATTATTGGGAAATGGTATAGCATAATCAAAAACAAATGGGGCTCATGGAAATATTTTATTCACCAGATTTGTTTAAGATTGAGAGGACATTGCAATGGCCCAAAGATTTTTTTATGCCTACACAGATCAGGAGTTCAAGGTACTTTTTAATTGTCAATGATTTGGTGCTATTGGTGCTGCCTTAAAATCTTCCTTAGCCCTGTTCAGCATCTTTGAGATATCCCACCAGTTCAAACAAGCAAACATAAAGGAACAAAACTGTATCATCTGTAGTTTATGTAATGCTGTCAGTGTTGTTTGTGTTACTTTTAGAGGATATTGTTAAACATTTGGGTTGTGAAAACTGACCTGTTATCTCAAATATCTGGATGAATTATTATTGCCACGAACCTCTGTGATGACTCCTTGTTTCTTGAAGGTGAGGAGTTGGCCATGCTGGAGGACATGAGTGTTGGAGTGATGGACCTGAGAAATGTTACCTTTAAAGTTACCCAGGCAACTTCAGGTTTCGCCCCGGACATGCTGCCGGTGATCACAGGAAACAGGAACGGCTTCAACGTCAGGGTTCCTATGCCCGGGGTGATGTTCGATACGTTGCCACGAGAGATCCAGAACGGGATGCTGCTGCGTGTGCAGCCCGTCCTGTTCAACGTGGGGATCAACGAACAGCAGACGCTGGCTGAGAAGTGAGTCGCTGAGATAAGATAAGACAGGGAAGGTTGAGGGCAATTTTTAGATCTAATTATTATAGAATTATTAACAGGACAAGGGAAGATTTTAACTCAAATATCTGACGTGTGTGTCCAGGTTTGGAGACACGTCACTACAAGAGGTGATCAACATGGAGAGCATGACACGCCTCAGTTCATACTACGACCAGTTTAAAGAAGTCCTGCCAGAAGACTGTGAGTTTATATACTTTAATCAGAAGGGAAAATGCGTGTCTTCATATTTAACTCACCTCATCGTTCCTCTGCTCTCTCCTCAGGCCTGCCTCGCTCGCGCAGTACCACCAGTCTGCCCGAGCTGCTTAAACTGCTGAGCCAGAATGTGAATGCCAAGAAAAGCAAGAACGTGGAGATTTTGTGGCAAGCAGCTGAGGTAGACTCGCTCCCTGTGTCTTCTCTGTGCAGCCCCCCCAAATTTAAAAACCCCGTCTTTCTCTTCTAATGTCTTTCTCTGAACCCCTAAAGGCATGTCGCCGCCTGAACGGAGTGCGTTTCACCAGCTGTAAGAGCGCCAAGGACCGCACAGCCATGTCTCTGACCCTGGAGCAGTGTCAGATCCTGCAGCAGGAGCACGCCCTCGCCCCACAGGTCTTCTACCAGGCCTTGGACTGTATGCGCAGGTCAGCTAATGATGAAAGTCATAAATCTCACAGATGTTTATTACCCCTGCATCAGAAGCATATTGAATGAAAATGAATAATTTATAGCTTCTGTTTCTCCACAGTGAGGGCTGCAGGAGAGAGAACACCATGAAGAATGTGGGATGTCGTAAATACGCCTTTAACTCTCTCCAGCTCAAGGCCTTCCCCAAACAGTATCGCCCTCCAGAGGGGACATATGGGAAGGTTGAGACCTAAGCGGACTCCTCTTACTGGAGGAAACCAAAAGACTGAAGGGGATAATGATGATAGCACCACACAAAGAAAAATACCAACACAAACTGGAACAACAGCCCTTTGTTTTGTGCTTAGTCACTGTTAAGATGATAAATGTCCAAGTGCCAGTGCTACTCTAGTTTGTTTTATAGAAGTTCCCCCTCTCCTTTAGCGTTACTAGAATCCCACACTTTTCACGGCCACGTCACAGCCAAAAACATTAAAGATATTGCTTTCTGTCTTACATCGTAGCCAGGGCCCAGAAAACACTGTTGTACCAGTTGTAGCATCAGGAAGTGTACAACTGAGTTATTTAACTTGTGTCCCTAGAAATAAGATGTGTGCAAAAGTCTCTAGAAAGATGATGTGGGACACATATTTATCGTTGTCATTTTGTGCTTTTATTTTATCAGTTCATCCGTTAAAAGTTAAGGCTGTCAACGTTTACTGTTTACTGTCAACAAATTCCTTACAAAGACCAAAAACAACAACAAATGAATCCTACTAACAAGTATTGTCTGTGTAGCCAAAACCTTTTGTGTCGTATTCTGATCATAAAGCTAGAAACACATCAGTGAGCCACACTGTTGCACTGGCTGACATGTTCCTTCATTACGGTGAACATAGGCCCTTTTGTTTTGTTTGTTTGTTTGTTTATTTGGAGTCAAGTCAACGTACACTGCCCTGCAACAGTAAAACTCACTATTAATCAGCCCCTGAAAATAGTCCCCAAGAAAACGCACTATTTACCCCTGTTTAAGTTATAGTTGTCATAAACTACAGCTGTTTTAGGAGCCCTTTAAAAAAAATATATTTAAAATATTTTAAAGATATGTGTTCAGGAGGAACAAATGTGCTTGGGGCTGACAGGGTAGGAAAATCTGAAAATGTTGAGAAACAGGCTAACACGTGTTTTTCGGTCTTTTCTTGGGATTTGTTGACAATAAGAAAAACTAATAATAATGCAACCTTATCCTTTAAGGCTACACTAGGCAAAATATTACTTACTGATTTTTTTGTCGAGTCTGGTCAGTTTTCCTAAAAGAGATCACAAATTTAACCTAATGGTAACAGCAGCAAGTGTTTGATTGTGCTGTTGGAGATTACATAATGTGAAAAGATTTCCTAAAAAATGTTCCTTGAAAATATGTTTTTAAGAATATTACTGTATATGTCGCTGCCATTTGGAGCCGCCTACATGTGAAGTTGCCTGGTGTAGCTCTGATTAGACGATCAGGTTTGTCAAAGTCTTTGGCTGTTAACATATTTCTCTGGACCTAAACTGCACTGCAGAATAACAGCTGTTAAAGTCAAAGCACTTACTTTGTTTATTTCTGTGCTTTGAGCCTGTTGTCTTGTTCCCTCCCACTGTCTCTCCTTCTTCAATCACATCAATATACAACAACATCTCACTCTCTACAACAAGCACAGGTCTTTAAAAAGTACATATCTGGCATTTGTATTACAGTGATGTCTCATCTAATGTGATTTCTGTTGTTCTTCAGTGGTTCACAAACCGTGGACTTCAGAAGTGATGCATCACATTATTCTATAACTCCAACACATGTACAGATGTTTAAGACATTTCTGCAGGTTATATGCAGCACTATAGTGGTTCGATCTAACCCTTCAGACGTGGGTTTTTATTTATGAAAAGCGTGTGTTCTCAGTTTTACAGCACTCAGTTGAATTATGCAGAACTTTGTGATCAAAATTGCATTAAAACTTGATTCATTTAACCTGCATGAAGAAAACCCCACTGCTTTACACTGTTGCAATTATATATTGATGCAATTGAGAGTAACCATGAGCACTTGACAGATGTTTTCTAGCCAGAAGTGAAATAATGCATATTGCATTATTCTGCTGACCATCAACAACACCTCTTCTGTTGTCAGTTTACCAGCTCCAATGTACCTTATTGTACAAAACTTACAGAGACAGTGGATTTTATTTTGAAAATGTTATTTTGCTTACAGGTATTTATGTTGATATGGCTGTTGTTGCCAAATGCTGTTATAGTTTTATCCATTGTTATTGAGTAAGTTATGACCTCGTTCTGATCAGTTGTACATGCACACAGGTTGGACAGGGGAGTTTTGGAGATGCCTGCACCCCCACAGAGGTATGACATGGACCTGGATAATGAATAAAGGCTGGTCAATGCCAAATGAGTGTGGATGAGTACATTACATGAGGCATCGTGGTTTGTCTAAATGTTTGTCTAATCAGAGAGCAAAGGACATACACTGTTACAGTGTAGAAAATATAGGGAAGAGAGGATGAGGCTAAATCTAAAGACATTTGTATGTTTTATTTAGGTATTTATTACTGTTACTATGTAAAGTAGTCTCATATAAACATAACTCATGATACATACTCTGGTACAGTAGGTGGCGGTGTGTTCCCGCCATAAAACCGGAAGAAGAAGAAGAAGAAGCGAAAGAGAAGAAGCAGCATTTATTTCCCGCGATAATTCATTGGATAATCTGTTACATTCTGTACTCAAATATTTTAAGTTTATCCTTTCTCCTCTCTGACTTTGGAGTGATTCAATATTTAATTGAATACCGGATGTCTTCACATTGAACGTTATATATATAACTATTACCACACTCTTCCTCCGGCCTTCTTCTCGAAGGAGACATGCTCCCTCAGTGAGTCTTTCATGGCGGTCATTATCCGATTCACTGCAACGACGTCTCGTATTATCTTCCGGAGGCCCGTGGGGAGGTCAGACTGCTCTTTTACACTTCAACCATACAAACACATTTCTCTATCACAGTCGTCTATGTTGGCTTGGTCCGGAAGTAAAAACACTGTACTACCAACTGACCTATTATATATTTATTTATTTAAGGTTTAAGGTAGCTGGTGATTGACTGCTACCACTGGACTCTACGACCCTCTGAGTTTAACCTTTTCCATAATGCACAATCATCTCTCTCTCTCTGATCCGCTGCAACAATCAACAAGTAAGTGTTAGTCTGTTGGTGAGCTAACATTAGCTTTACTATTCACTAAGTAACATCCACACAACATAAACTACAATACAGTACAACACTATTATCTGCAATATAAACATTTTATTAATAATAATAATAATAAGTGTGCTATTATTCATTCATTCATTCATTCATTCGCGATGGTTTAGTAGTTCCTTCATTCCTAAAAAATAATGCCAAATTGTTGTTGTTGTTGTTGTTGTTGTTGTTGTTGTTGTTGTCGTCAATTTAGCCTCAAGTCGGTTGCATGAAAGCAGGTCAAACTTATCCCGGCCAAGTTACTATGGTGATTTATTCTCTGCAGTTAGCCTTCTCCAGACCAGGCTAAGAGCCAGGCTAACATTAATCCTAGTGATTCACCTGTTGTTCCACCGTCAATCCTGTGAGGAGTTAATGTGTTTTACAGCATGTCCATGGTCTTTCTAAGTATGTTGCATCATTTTATTTATCCTGCATTAAAATATTATATAGTCATTTCTCATTTCATTTAAATCTGTTGGCTGTTTGTAATTGCAACAGTCTTTTTATATTAATTCAAGTGGTAGTATTATTACTCAGGACAAGTGTTATATTGCTATGCTAATGAAGACTGCTTGTCAAAATGCTGTCAGGTTTCATAAATATGTGTTTTATTGCAGTAATTGAGATTACAAAACACAGCTGATGAAGTTGCTAAGGTGTTATCAATGAAATCTGTGACAAGGGCAATATAGTCACAAAAAGAAATATATATATATATATATATATATATATATATATATATATGTATATATATATATATATATATATATATACATATATATATGTGTATATATTTGTATGTGTATGTATGTATGTGTATATATATATATATATATATATATATATATATATATATATATATATATATATATATATACACACCTAGTACATAGTGTTTTTTATTATTTCCCTACTCTTACTGTTTATTTATACTGTTTTCTCTCTATCCACTTTGCTGCTGTTACATTGGAATTTCCCCATTGTGGGACAAATAAAGGAATATCTATCTATCTATCCAACTCTTATTCACCTGTTCCCTCTTCATAATGGCTTGCCCTTTCTTGGAGGATGTACTGGATGAGGAAGCCCTAATCCTCAGACGAGCATTTAGTCATGAAAGAGTCTTCCGGGACAGGTCAGACCCATTGGCCGTTGGGGATGACTATCTCATTGAGAAATACAGATTCTCAGGTGATGGACTAAGATATTTATGTAGGCTGCTGGGTCCAAAAATACAGCACCAGATGGCACAAAGCCATGCTCTCACTGTACCATAGATGGTCTGTGGTACATTGAGATGTTTTGCAAGTGGGAGCTTCCTTTATTCTGTTGGGGATGCAGAGAACCTCAATAAAGGAACCATTTGCCGCACATATCCTGGCTTGGTGGGCCGCCCCCTGTGCCAGTTCTATGGGCTTTTTTTTTTAACTGCTACAATCATACAGACATTCAACATGTCAGCAGACACCTAATCTATTCACCTCATTTGTTCACTGTTATCTACTTTAAAGTCACTTACCAGCCTGCAAAATGTTCTTGTATTTAATTTTAACTTGCTGCCAGGTCCTTTTATGGCCAGACATGTTTGTTCTTTATGAAGGATAGAAAGATAAAATAGATAAAAATAGATTAAATGACACACATTGTGGATAATTGTTTGTACTTAATCATACTCTACATTTAAGTAACATGCACCTCTACTTGCCACATTTAAAGCAAAGTGTACAACAGTTGATTAGTGGACTTAAAGTAACTCCTTTAGTCCTTTAATTGGAGCCTAATTATGATAGTTCCAGTGGAGCACTGTTTATTAATTGTACAGTTTTGGACTTAACCCGGTCCGCTATTGTCTGCCAGGCTTTCTCTCTTTCTTTAATTATGGCATTGGTATTGCCTTTTTTTCTTATGATATCTTTCATCTCTTCATAGAACTCCATCAGGAGCTGTTGAACACGCACTTATCCTGACTATCTACACCTGGCTTAACATAGCCACACCTTTTTAATCCTGGCTCGGCAAACGTGCAACCAATTAAGCCAGGATGCGCCGAGCAGGCTAGGTCAAGCCGCGCTTGCTCAATTATCCTGGATTTCTTTATTCTACTTTTGTGCAATACCCCTCAGGTTTAAATCTCTTTATGTAAGGATTGTCTGAAACGTTAATGGGGTAAATAAATGGGGAAATTTACTTCCGGAACAAGTTCAGCAATGACTGAAAGTTATGTACACTTTTAATGTGTCTCAATATGTTGTGTGCTAATTTTACTGGTGATATTAGGTTTAGTTGTTTGACTGGAGGAAGACTTTGATCAGATACATGTAATTTGTGTAACTCCTCCCATTCACTCCCCTCTCCATTCACTTTCTGATCTCTCTCTCTTGCTCTAAGGTTGTTTGCAGCTGATCGTCCTTGGTTCCAGTCTGTGAGGGGAAGAGGTGGGTGTTTAATGTTTATCTCATATGTTCTGTTTTAGCTAAGTTGACTGAGTTAAACAACCAACAAAGCTCCCCACAGCTTTCTGTATATGTAGGGGGGAAATGTTATCTTTAGTTTAACCATTTACTAGAGTAGTTTAACTCTAACCAGCGTGTTAGATAGGACAGCAGTGTTTCTTTGTCATTGAACTGAAGTCTTTTGCTCCTTAGGGATCACGATGAGTAAAAAGTTTCTGGTGGACGTGGACTGCGGGGTGGATGATGCTCAGGCCATCATGATGGCACTGGCTGCCCCAAACGTGAACCTCCTGGGCATCACCTGTGTGCACGGAAACACGACAGTGGAGAATGTGTGCAAGAACGTACTGCGAGTTCTGCAGAACTGTAATAAACTGGAGGTTTGTGCTGTTGTTTTCTATCTACTGTACCTGTAGTTTATTTTATGATCTTGACATAACAGACTGGAATATATTGTCTTTTTAAACCGACATCGGTGTGTTTACTCAAGAGTGTAGTCAGGCATAAGTTGGAATTTACTGGTATCATGTGACAAGTAATGGTGCTGTTTTCAAAACTGCTCAACAATCAGTTGTTGTTCCTCAAACCACGAGTGGAGGCAGGGACTGGACGAGATACACAACCAGCATGAGCTCAGTCAGCACTAGCATATAAAGTTAACATAGCATACAAAGTTTTATACGTTTAAACGGAAAATATTCAAAATTTAGATGGTTTCTAAACAACCATAACTTTAGGGAGTCTGTCTTTAAACATGCAGGAAAGGCAGCGCTTGCGTTTTTTTATTATCTCGAGATCACAAGATTAATTCATCTTGTGATCTCGAGAAAACAATAGGCTGAATTCTCGAGATAACAAGATAATCACGAGTAAACAACATTTGTTTTCTCGAGATCCCTGGATAATTATAAAGAACTCAAAAAGGAGTGTGTGGTTCATTTGATCATAGCTGATTTCAGCGTTCAAGAGGAAGAGTCATAACTAAACTGAAAAGAGTTGTTACCAGAATATACGTCTGAGAGTTAATTTAAGCTATTAACTTCCTGCAAATGTGATGCAATAACAACAAAATGTATCAGGAGGAGATTGAGAACTGTAACAGGTCTCATACGTATCACATCCTAAGTGTGTCCACATGCATTGGGGGTGCTAGGGCTTCTGGCGAAGGACTATTGACACATTTCTGTTGTCTCTTAGTATCACCATGTTGTCCAACCGTACCTTATAGTTTGTAAGATTACAATTAGGAATGTTAATGCTGCATAAATAGACAGAAATCAGTTTGGAAGCCAATTAATAATAACAGCAGTACAACATTACCTCTTGTTGTATGTTTGCGTGTCTCATCTGCTCTTCTTTTCCTGTGTCAGACTCCAGTGTTTAAAGGAGCTGCTAAGCCCATTCTTGGTAGCAACATTGATGCGGGAAGCTTCCATGGGGAGGACGGGCTGGGAGACTTTCCTGACCCCAACGCTCCTAGTCTGGACCTGATTCAGAAGGAGGGAGCTGTGCCGGCTATGATCAGGATTGTCAACGAGAACCCAGGAGAGGTGAGAGCTGTGACACGACTTTTATGTGTGTGTATATGACATGAAGCGTCTTTTTTAGGTCTTTCATCACTTGGCTTCATTTCCCAGATATATCTGGTTGCCACGGCACCCCTCACCAACCTAGCTCTGGCTGTGAGGATGGATCCATCTCTCCCGAGCAAACTCAAAGGGCTCTACATCATGGGAGGCAACACCGAATGTCAGTAAATTAATGAACTGCTACTTTGTTAACACTGCATTTCAGCAGGTGGTAAATGTGACACAGTGTGAGAGACAAAATAATGTACTTTGAGAAACAGGACTTATTTAAATAATTCTCCATTTCTTTCACCATTACACCCCAAATTGGCACAAAGATGACTTTGTCTCATAACATGTCTGTCGTGTTAGAAACTCAAATCTGCCACAGTGCCAGACATCTTTTACAGCTACTGTGACTGGAACTGAAATGATTAATAGACTACTCCTATGACAGAAAATGAGTCAAGATAAACTGCTAAATGTTCCTCAATGTGAGGATTTCCTGTGTTTCTAAATGAATAGCTTTATCTTTTGGACCGTTATTCAGACCAAACAAGCAAGCTGAATATGTCCATATGACATTTTTCATTAGTTTCTGGTATTATCCAGACAGAAAGATGAATCAGTTGATCAAAGAAATTAGCTGCAGCCCTGACTGTAACACAAGTGTTTGTAATGGTGGAGTTCAGTGTGTAATCAGAGGTTTGCTTCTTTCAGCTCGAGGAAACACCACAGTGTGCAGCGAGTTCAATTTCGCTGCTGATCCAGAAGCTGCGTACATTGTACTGAATGACTACCAGTGTCCCACCTACTTGGCCTGCTGGGAGTTTACCTGCTACAACAAGCTGTCCTGGGTAAAGCTTCCTTTTACACATTGTAACATGTCAGTTCCTAAGACTCAGTACAAAGCCTTTTTTAATAAGTTGACACATCAATGAACACGTCATCTCTCCCGGTACGTTGACAGGAGTTTTGTGATGCCTGGTTGGCGCAGAACACCGACAAAGCCCGCTTCATGGCACAGATCTTCCGCCACAGCATCGAGGCATCAAAATCCGAGCGCTTCCAGAAAGAGTTTGTCGACGGCTCGGGGTTCATTTCCTGCGACTCGTATGCCATGGCAGCCGCCATAGACGATTCATTCATTACAGAGAGCGATCATTATCCAGTTAGCGTTGAGCTGGCAGGCATGCACACCAGAGGCATGATGATAGTAGATACCATTGGCTTCCTGAAGAAGACTCACAAGGCTTTTATTATGAAGAAGGTAGACATGGAGAAGTTTAAGCAGATGATGATGGCTGCTTTAAAATAAAACGAAGGTATTAGTATTGCCGTTTTTCATATTAAACTTGAAATACTGTTTCAGGCAGGCTTTTGGTAATTTATTTTTAATTACAAGCGGTTTTTTTTATAACAACACAAACACATTCATCCAGAAACTGCTCCAGTTTTAGTCAGTGCTGCATTTTGCTGATACACATGGTAATCCTTGTGTCAGTGTGCATTGTTCTTTTAATTTGGTAGTCCTTTGTTGACACACGTCCTTCAGATGGAATAGTAAAGCTGCACATACGCTGACCCGTGAGCATTGCTCTTTGATTCATAGTATTTCAAGTATTTACAACTGCTCATCCAGTATTCACTCAGCAGCAATCAGACGGGTCCTCAGTATCCTTTCCTTCCTCTGAATCTTGACCTTGTGTCCAGCTGTCAAAAGAGGAAATACGTTAGTCTGTAGCTCAGTTTAAAGCATGAGTCAAATTAATTTTTAAACAGAGGAAAAAAGAGGAAGCTTAAACATACCCATGTTGACCACTTCCCACCAGTTAATCTCATAAATGCAACATCATCACTGCGGACTTACCATTGACCTCTTGCACTCAAAGAATGACGTCTGCAGGCTTTTGCAGTGGCCTTCCTTCAAACACTCACTGGGCATCTTCCCCTCCTGACAAATGAAGAAACAAGTTAGAGTACACTGGGTGCTTTCAGGCCTGTATTAATGTGGGACGGTATACAGGTCTCACTCAACTCTGCAGACAACAGCTTTTTCTTCAGAGGGTAAATAGACATAGCAAACTAATCCATTTGAGGCCTTTTATATTTATATTTATATATGTATATATATATATAATATATATATAAAAACAAATATTTCATGTTTGCTGCTCAATGCTAAGTTACGGTTGCATTTCATAGTCAAATATAATTTTGAAATTGGTGCTTTTGGTTGTTTTGTGACAATCAGATGGTACAAACCGAAAATACAGGTTTTTCTATATATGTATGTATGTATATAGGTATATATGTACATGCTGTAAAAAGGTTAAGCAACACTGTTTAAATACTGAAACGATAAAGGTTAAATGTTGAATTATGAGAAACATTTTTTACCGTTACCTCAATATTTCATGACAAATGTACTGTAATTAGTCTTTTCTGGGTGTTTGACATCTTCTGACTTACTTGGAACTAATAATTGAACATTTAAGCTTTTCTCTTGTGTTTAATTGTAAAAGTGTAAAAAAAAAAATTGAAACATTGAAAAAGACAAATCAGCAGGTGAGGTTGAGACAGATACACCTCCTCCTACAATGTAAAACATTCAATAATATCAGGAACACAAATTAATCTGTAATCCAAGATTTCAAATATACATGACCATTAAAAATGTAAAAATATGATCCTGGAGGAAGAAGAAGAAGACAGTGCATGTCTTGCTGCCCAATACGTTTTAACCTGCCACAACCTGAGGGACAGCGAGGAACACACACACACATATAACTTGTGTTAAAGTGTGTTTTCTAATTTTCTTTCTTTTTTTTTGTACTAATTAAGTTACTAATTTTCTAATTAAGTTACGCTTTGATGATGTAACGTTAAACGTATGTTTCCTGTGCCAATAAAGCTGATCTGATTTGAACTGAATAATGAATAATACACAGTGTGGGACTCAGTCAGTGTACAGTGGAATCTAACAGCTACAGATGGATGAATCTCTTCTCGGTTGTCAACCGTAAATCCACGTCTGCCAACTTAAAGAAAGGGCAGTGTGGCTGCTGAAGGGCCCTTGAGCAGGTCAGCTGTTGTCTTAATGTGGTTTATATCTGATTAAAGCGACCTCAGCGCCACTGGTGACACAGCAATAACTCAGCCGTTACGCTTGCAATTGAAGCGCTTATTAAAACCTAACTGTTGCTATGTAACAAGAGCTATAAAATAGTTTTGACGCCGAACAATATTAAATTGACAGTTTTTACAGTGGAGTTTGGTCGTGTGTCGACACACGTTTCACTGCTAGCTAACGTTAGTTCCCACAGCGTTGCCCTCAGTGTTAGGAGGCTGGTTTAGATTTAGATTTACAGGGGTCAGGGGCTCTGTGTGTTACGTAGATTGTTTACAATGTGCGGTTCGACTAAACTAGCTGAACAATAAGCTTTTATCGACCACGGTTATCAAACTGCAGAGGCTGGTGTCAGACCTGTAACGTTAGGTCAGGTGTAATGTTCAGAGGACGCCTACCTTTACCACGCAGTCGTGCTGAAGGAGACACGCTTTAAAGTCCTCTCTGATACCGGCGCATGCTCTGTTATCTTCCTCTTTATCTTCGTAATATTTCGGCATTGTTGCAGAGTCCACTTCAACACCAATATTACCTTATTGATAAACTCACATGAACCACAATCAGCTAGTTAACAACAGTGACGTCGGTGCTGTTATGGAAGCTTCCAGCCACCATGTTTGTGCAACGGCATTATGGGAACAACGGAAGTACCTGGGGCAAAGAATTGCATGCTGGGAGGACTTGTAGTTTTTCCTGTTGGGGCTTTTTTTTTTTTTTAGCTGTTAGCAAACAGCTAAGTAGATTTTCTTCATGTGTGCTTTGTTTAGAAGTTTGCAAGTAATTTAGACAGATCATCATCCATTTGTAAAAAAGTTAAAAAGTCCTTTAGGATTCACAGAAATTTCTAACAGTTCTATGAGTTATTTTGGGATTTTCACAGTCCTATTCAATCTTTTTTTGATATTGGTTCCCCCTACATAAGAAAGATGTTTTGTTCTTATTGGCAATCTGTTTTTCACTTTGCTTTCACCTTGTTAATTTACAGCTGATATCGAATCAAACTGGTGATGCAGATGGCATGAGTAATGCAAGTAGAACAAAATCATACACAAAAAATGGCCATGACTTCTAACAACTTTTATCATTTATTTCAAAGATGTCCATGAAAAATGATGTCAAAAACATCAGAGGCAGGCATACACATGTACAAGATGAAGGCACATGAACTGATGGGTGTATGGGGTTAGTCTCCTGTCCACTTTTCACAAATACAGTAGGGTGGGGTGGGTTGTCACATGATTCATGCTGTTTTCATGCATTCAGTTTGTGTTTGTGGGATGCAGGACAAGAGGAAGAAGCCAGTCCTGTCTGCAGTGTCTTTCCCCTTTCAAAACATGTTCCCCCGTTTCAGCGGCTTGCTCTCATCTTCTCCCAAATAATTAAAATAAAAAAGAATCTGATGAGGAGGCGGAGATCAAGCGTCTTCAGTTTTCTTGAGTACATCTCTAGCATGGATGGTTTGATAAGGGGGTGGAGGAGGCTGCTGCGACCGAAAAAACATTGTTTATAAATTACAAATAATAATCATGCATGTGAACAAGCACAATTAGAAAAACTGTCCCCGTTTTCATATCAATTCCATCAAAAGGCACTTCACTACCCCCTTTGAATTAACCACTGCGATTTTAAAGTGAGTGTTTAAGTTTCACTTAAAAATAGCTTCCACTCAAAACATTGGCCACACATACATAAATACAAAACATGTCAAGTGAATTTCAATAACCTATTAAGTGAGGCAGAGGAGAGAGAGTGAGGGAAAGGAGAAATGTTCATTGCTTTTTTTATATATATTTACAATCAGTGAAAGTACTACACAACCTCAGCCAAATCATACAACAAAAAGGCGCACTCTGCAATGATCAGTAGTCATAATGTTCTGTCCAATCAAAACACAGAGACTGGATTGGACAAAATAAACCGTTGCGTGGATTTGGAGGAGTCAGTGAAATGAGCATCTACTATGTGAAGATGGAAAATTTAAGTACAATGGCGAAGGGTGTGATGGTAAACAAAAACAGTGAAAAAGCAGTGCAAATCACGCCGTTTCAGATGGTAATCTGGTACAAAACCCCCCTCTTTTTTTAAACCACTTTCACTTAGCATAACACCATTGTTCTTAACATCCAATCACTAATTGGACTCTGTATGTTACTTTAAAAATATTAGTATATCCAGCAATCAAAGTGTAGGCAAAAGTGAGAGGGAACAGATTGGAATTATGTTGCTGAGACAATTTCAAGGGACCTGGATATAAGGCACATTTTTCCCCAATTTAAACCCACAACTATTTCAACAGAATCTATTCGCAACTCTCCTACCGTTCAGTTTTGGAGCAGTAAAAATGAATTGTTTTAGTTGTAACGTTTTGTTTCAAGTGAAAAGAAACTGGGTCACACTGAACCGAGCTACTTGCACCAGCAGACAAACTTCACAAGTAGCCGTAATAATGAAAACAAAATGTACAATAGCAATTCAGAAAAAAACCCCAAAATAACCCCACAACAGTACACAAATAAAACAGACTCTGAACTACCATAAACATCTCTTAATAGAATAAAAATATATTTTACCTCTTGTACAAATTAAAGATTTATTTCAAATAAATTAAGTCACCTTCATAGATCGTCATAGCTGTAATAATATATCAATATAACAATATATTCCTTCGGGAAAATGACGCCAAGGCAATGTCTGATTGGTTTACTATAAATGGACACTGAGGTCATACACAGCCTGTCAGACAGGAGGTGAGATAGATAAGGTGTCATGGTACTCATTTTCTTGATGGATTGGGCTCGTTACCACAGAATCTGGCCTACGGTAAAAGTTGTTACTGACATCCTGAGTTTGTGTTTCAGGACGAGTGGAGCATTTGAGTGTTACTGACAATACTCTGGAGGTGAGGGAGATATTATTGGTTGGGCTGGTGTTGATCTAGAGCTCTGTCACCTCTGTCGAGAACAGAGAGCAACTGGCCATTAGTGATGACAACATTCTTGAACATCACGGACATTTTTTGCCAGGGCGTTAGTGACAGTGCAAAGCCCCAGCTCGTCCAAAAGGTGGCAGCATTGAGTAACAGAGAAGGATTTGGCAGCATCTACACCAGTGGCCAGCTGACTGGTTCTCCCCAGATGTGATGATTTGTCCTCATTCATCCGAACAGTTTTCTGATTGTGATCAAAGCTGCTGAACAACACAGTCACTTTGAGAGCCAGAGCTGGGAACAGACGTCTTCACACACTTCGCTGTTGTTCTTTAGACAGTAGTATTCACATTCTCACAAATGATTTAAGAGCACAAGAGTGAGGGAGAGATGCAGAAAGAAGAGGAGAAATCGATCGATGAGAAGCAAAATAAAGTACATTAGGAAGAGCGGGGACAGAGAGGTGGCGTTCCTCAGACAAACTCAGACGAGCAACTCTAGTAGGCTCTTATGACTTCACTGCTGGTTGCTAGGTGCCAGAGGCCCTGCGTAAGCAGTCTAGGAGATTTTGGTCCCCCTGGGGGCCATGAGTCATGTGCCCGGTCCAGAAGAGTCAGCCAGCTATCCTCTTTATATGTATCTGCAGGAAGAGAGCAGAGCATCAATGTGTGTTATAAGAGGTGTTATTGAAAAAAGGAGGCAGCATGCATCTGGAGAGAGTGGTGTTGTGTGACTGGACAGGAGATTAACAAGTGAGGCGTGTGATTGGCTTACTTCACTGAGGATGGCCCACACAGCCGAATCTTTGATAACTGAAAGCCGAAGTGCCACCACAGGATTGAAGGAAGGATCTACAGCCCCTTCTGCCACACCCTTCACAAAATGACCTGCGTGTTTAAGCACACACATACACAGTATTATAACTGTTTTTATTTGTATGGAAAGTGCACTGCCAATAATTCACCAGTCACAGTGCTCAAGTGAGAAAAACAAATGTGAAACATAACTTGGCAAAATTAACTGATTGACTGAAAAAAAAATATGAACCTTATCCACACTCCCACATCTCTTATCACGTTCAAGCACTTTTTTAAATTTTTTTTTAAAGAAATCATGTCTACAAGGAACATATCACAAAAAAGCTACGGAACAAAAAGATGATTAGAAAATTTAAAGATTAGCAAATGACTGCAGGAAGAGCATAAAACTTCAGATGAAAATTGGAAGGGATAAAAAAAGAAACAGGGCTGTGACTGAGAACGTTTCACACACTTTTTGTACACCGTCTATCACTTTAGACACCATCAGTGTGAGTGTGTAATATGATCATGATGTTTCAGTGTGTTTGTATGCACACACACACATTTAAGCAGTAAGAGACTGTCAAATCCACTTACCGATCCTGTAAAAGCGGTCTTCAGTTCGCTTGTACTTCTCTTTGGTCTGCAGTCCAGGTTCCTAACAGATGAACACAGTGAAAGGTGGATAGTAGAGTAAAATATGATTAAACAAATGAGGATTTTTAAAAATGTTTTATCATTTGAACAGCACTTGAACAGATGCTAGCATCTGCGGCCACACTGGATGTGTGAATCACAATGTCAGAATGTATCGCCTCTGGCCGAGCAAGCGATTCAGTCACGCTCACATTCCTGTCGATAATCAATACGCTTCGTCCCTAAGCAAAACCACTCAGTGTAATCTAATCAAAACTGTTTGCACATCACACCACACAGGGCTGACAGACTGCATGTGTGTGTATGTGTGTGTATGTGTGTGTAGGGGGGGAGGGAGGTTCCCTACCGAGACAGGCAATATTTCCACTGTGGTGTTCTCAATCTTGTCCCCTGGGTGCTCCTGGTTACCACTGCGAAAGAGAAACCTGGCG